CGTGGCTTCCCGTGCACTGGAGCCCTTGAACTCACTTTGTAGCCTAGGCTGGTCTCAAACTCGCAACGATCCTCCTGCTTCAGCCTTCAAGTGCTGGGATTACAGGAGTGTGCCACCACGCCCGACCCCAAGAAGCATATGTTTTGAATTAAGCCGTGTAAATCCTTTTTAAACTGTGATATTGGACAAATCACTCTACTTCTGGGAATCTTCTTATCAAGTTGCAGTGAAAATTACATTATGAAGGTACATAAAGCACATAAAATTATGTGCTGGAACTTGTAGGTATATGCATTTCTACTGCTACAAAATTGCACAATTGTGTAGAAAATACAGCAGGGCTTATGGTAAAAAATTGGGTTGTAGAGATCATTTAAATCTTGTGCACTTTATAAACAGAAGTCCAATGAATACAATGGCGATCCTAAATAAAAATTCTAGAACTTAAAGTCTACTCACACTTGTCAGGATTAGTCAGTCTTTTGTAATCTTAAGCCCAGAGTTTGTGCTGCTTCTTTTCAGATGTATCTTTGTAAAGTTTTACTTTCAGCCAGACAGCAGTCTTACCAAGAGTACTGATCCAAGGAGTAGGCTTTTTCATCAGTCAGTTTGAGGGGATGTATGTAGAGATGCTGATTCAAGCATCTGTCTGATCTGATGCAGACCAGAAGCCAGGTCAGTCTTTTTAATGGGTTTGGGGTAGGATGCTTCTGCAGTTCTTTTTCCTTGAATGCTAAGAAAGCTTGCCCTTTTTTGGTTCAAAACATTGACATGCTTGGGAAAATTGCATATGTACTATTGCAAATGGATGATTTGCTAAGTGCTAGATCCCTTCTTCCTTAAGAAAAAGGAAACAAGCAAGCCAGCCAGCCAGCCATCCTGTAATCACAATACTTGGGAACTTGGGAGGCTGAGGCAGGAGGATGATGAATTCAAGGTCAGCCTAGAGTAAAAGTCAGAACCGGTCTCCAAATAAAAGATGAAAGACTGGTTATAATCCTTGCTGAAGAACTGACAAACTTCAGAATATAATAATCTTGGCTTTATTTGAGGTCTTTTTATTTTGATCCTCCCTGAGTATGTCGCTTGTGCTCTTTTATAACATTGTGCTCTTTTATAACATTTCTGTTGGGAAACTACTTTTCTCTTCACAGGCTCGAGTTAAGGGCTGTACTGTTATTAAGCCTTTCAACCTGTCCCAGGGAAAGAAGAGAACATTTGAAGAGGCTGCATCTGCATCTGCATCTGCATATGTGCCTCTGGCACAGCAGGTAGAAGCATTCCATAAACAAACCCCTAACAGATATCATTTGAGGAGCAAGAAGGAAGACACTAGTAAGTTTCCTACCAACATCATTGCTGACTGAAGCCTCCCCTAGAACTATTAGTACAAGAGCAGGATGGTTCTCTGTGTGGATGGTGGAAGAGTAAGAGGAACATGAGCGAATGCTGGTGGGTTCCTAGATACAGTGGATAGATGAGGGGATTCTAATTTAATGATTTCTGTCTTGAGGAAAATAATTTCTATAAGATGATAAGGAGTGAGGATTAGAGGTGGTATAAAATAGTTGCCAAGAGAATAGTCCTAGTATTTTTGTTGTTGTTGTTCTTTTTTTTGTACCAGGAATCAAACTCAGGACTTTGCACTTGCCAGGCAGGCACTTGTGCCACTGAGCTATATCCTTGGCCCCTTGTTGTTCTTTTTGAGACAGAGTTTCACTGTGCAGTTTAGGCTGGCCCTGAACTCTCTATGTAGTCCAGGCTGGGCTTGAACTCATGGCAGTCCTCCTGCCTCAGCCTTCTGAGTGCTGAGATTATTAGTGTACACCACAATGCCCGGCAGCATGGCCAATTTCTAAGATAAATAGATTTGATTTCACTATCCCACTGGTTTTTTTTTTTTTTTGTAGTGGGAATTGAACTCAGAACCTGGTGCTTGCCAGGCAGGTGCTTGTACCACTGAGCTATATCCCTGGCCTGATATCCCACTGTTTTGTAATAAGATCTAAATTAGAGGAATCAGCTGGGCATATAGTGAGTGGCTCATGCATGTAATCCCAGAACTCTGGAGGCTGAAGCAGATGGATTGCTGTGAGTTTGAGGCCAGCCTGAAGTGGAAGTGCATAGTGAAACCCTGTCTCAAAAAGACAAAAACAAAACAAAAACACCTAAATTAGAGGAATCATTCTAAATAATTAATTATGACAATTGATAAGATTGTTCCTGGCCAGGTAAATCAGTATTTTCTATGAGTGTTAGTGATGGTCTTAGTATCAGTACTGTGACAATGACTTTTTACTTTCTCCTACCTGTTCAACAACTATTGAGACTCAAGCCGCCACTCAGACATATGGCCCATCTTTTTTTTTTGTTACAGTATACCTTGTTTATACAGTACTGTAATTATTACTGAATACTGTACAGTAGTATATTACCATAGTTTTATATTTTGTTATATATTACAGTACTGCATGTAAGATTATGCAAATAAAAGCAAAGTCATCAAGTTGATGTTTCCTTTGACTGTTACTTTGTTCTGAATATTGTAATATACACATATGTAGGAGTCCTCGTTTAGCAACCAATTCATTTAATGATCTAGTCACAGGGATTCAACTTGGTTGCTAAAAGAGGAATGTCTGTAGATGCTTTTTAGGATGTTTGTAAAATTGAGAAGTTATCACTTGGCCTATGGAGTCTTTCATCTTGTATCATGTACAAAAATCTTTATTGTCAATAACAAGCAAAATAGTTGGTATTGTCAGTAGAGAAGTACAGGCCTGTGCAATGTTAAGGAATCCATCAGAGATGATTTTTATTTGGTCTTTTTTTTTTTTTTTTTTGGTCTTTTTGAGACAGGGTCTTGCTATGCAGTTCAGGCTGGCTTTGAGCTCACTTTGTAACCCACACAAGCCTCAAACTTGCAGTGATCCTCCTGCCTCAGCCTCAGCCTCCCAAGTGCTGGGATTATAGGCGTGCCCCACCATGCCAAGCAGATGAATGGATTTTAAGTTTAGGTGATGACATTAGAACTTGCCCACATGCTCTCCTTAGAAAGAGGAAGAAGGGAGTAACATTTGTCATGTTGACTGGTGTCAGCCGTGTTGAGTGTGGAGGGCTACCTGCAACATCTTTGGGGCTGCACGATTGAGTCAGCACTTACCGGTAAACCAGATCTTGGCGAACTAGGTGAATGTCTGTGATCTTGGTTTCCAGGCCTGGTAGCTTCCAGATTTTCTGTGACCAAGATGTCCACAAAGCCACGGACTCCTGTACTGCAAACCAGACACCGAGCAAGGCCTGTGACCTGCAAAAGTACAGCAGAACAGGAGGCTGAAGAGCTTGAGAAACTGCAGAAGTAAGTTCTATGGCAGTGTCTGAGGAAGAGTTCTGAGAAACCTGCCTGCTTTCTCACGGTTCTGGGTTCTATGAGAATGACAGTTGCTGTTTTCCTTTCATGAAAACCTATGGCACTTGAGTTTTAGGCTCTGCAGGCTGTGCCCCTGCTGTATGATGAAAGGTGCCTGCAAGTGGGAATATGGAGATACCCTGAGCTGTAAACTGATAAAAGTCTAACACAGCGGTTGGAGTGAGAAGACTTGCTTAAAGTTCCAATGAAGGAATGTCCTCTGAGATTAGTTAGGTAGATTCTCCCTCTATGACTGCCTAAGGGATTTTTGCAGGTACTATCAGTAGAGGAAACTAGAACTTAATGATTAGCTTAGGAACCTATTTTCTTTTTTTTTTTTTAACTCAATAAATATATAACAGGG